AGCTATGCAGCTTGGGCGGTGTGTGGGCAGAACTTGGTGAATCACAGATTCAAATGCTCGTGCATGTTCGATTGTAGCTCAGCTCCTCCAATGCAAAGCGGATCATCTGCATGGCAGCATTGTTGAGAATCTCTGCCTCACTTTTAGCCTTATTGCATTTGGATTGACAAATCAGGTCAGAAGCAGCTCAGGTGGAGTAGCATTGAGCAGAGAAACAAACCACCCATGTCTTAGTTGAGAGCGCCCATTTCTTTAGAGAAACAACAAGTCAACTGTCTTTTTGTCTGATTGGAAGCGCATCAGAAAGCAGCGAGGCGGCACCTTGTTCAGAGCCGAGGTCAGCTGTTTTCGCTTCACAAGGTACCTGGGGCACAAAGCACAGCGAACCAATCAATTCGCATGTCAAAGAAATGTGGAAATCGACCGTTCCTCATTGCGAGCTCAATCATCAAATTAGGGAATTGTACACTTACGTTTGACGGATAGCTGATAGCTGCTATCTCACAAAGCCCACAATGCACAAACCGTGCGGGTGTCCCACGCAGTGATTTTGTTTTGGCTTCCAAAGCGCACTCCAGCTGAGACTGTTTCTGACTGCACGGTCACAAGATGTGCTCTGAAAACCGGAATGGGTGAGTGAGAAGGATGATTCTACCAACAGGTACATTTCAAGTGGCCAAAGAAACCTTTTGAACGTTGGCAGACAGAATACGTCTCTCCTGTACAACTGGACGGGCAACCGGCCAACTCAATCAGATTCAATCATTGAAAGAGCTTGAACAGCCAACGATATTTCAATTTCTGACTGTGTGCTATCTGAGAAAGTTTGAACGAAGCCCCGTAAGGCGTCAGCATAGCTTTCCCGTAAGGCGTCGGTTTGAGAATCTTTGGAAACCAAAGCCACTAGATCTCTGAGCGCTGTAAGTCGCAGTTGTGGCTCTGGATCCGTCAAAGCGCTCGACAGCACCTTTGCTCGGCACTGCTCAGCGCTCATGAGCGTCAGCCAGGCATGCAAAGCAGCTACACGGATTTCAAGGCATGTGGAGTCGAAGTCATGCATCAGAGTCTCACCAAGCAGAATGCAAAGATCATGATTATGCAACGGAGTGGCCATATCAAAAGCCTTATATGCCTTCAGCTTCAAGGACTTCAAAGGGCTTGTGAGTGCTTTTGTCATGGGGAGAAAGGCCAAAGCTAGAAGTTCTTGAGACCAGGAACTTACGTCATGCTGCAGAATAAAATCTAGCAGTGGCTCCACAGCACCGTCCTTGGCATCCTTGGCATCTTCTACTAGACTGCGAAATGCATCCTCTTTTGTTCCCACCATTGAAAGTGTATGCTTCCAAAGAGCATCCCTTGCAAAGTAACCTGCTTGAGCTTCCGGAAGGATTGACCCATTCGTAGCCGATCTTGCTGCCATGATGAAGGGCAATCTCTCCTCCATATCAGCTTGTCTCAGGGAGATCGTCGGGATAGAGCTTGGCTCCGATGTGATCTTGGGGTTTGTATACAGCACCGACAGCTTCAAAACCCATTTGGTGCCAGAGACCACAACAGCAGCTCGGTGAAGCACCTTGTGCGGAAATATCACGACCATCCCTTCCTTTGGAAATACATCTAGCTCCGAGCCGTCCTCAAAGAAGCGGAGGCTGCCACCCTCAAAGTCTGAGTTTAGATACACCAAGACAGTGATTGAGGAATGTAATCCAGAATCCTGCAGTGGAGTATCAGCATGGACAGGGTGACTCATCTCTCCAGGCTCATGTTGCGCATGTGATCCCTGGTACTCCAGGAAGCGTAAAGTTGGATGTGGGCCAACCAAAGTGCGACCTTCACAGGGCGATTGGCGCATGAAGTGCAACCTTCATAGAACCAAAGAGCGAGTCCAACGGTTCCAAAGACAAACCTCAAAGAAATGACTATGCCGTGACTATGCTTTTGTGCCACATGTGTGACAAATGCGTGACAACGCGCCGCCACAAGCTTAAAACTTGGGGAATGAAACTGGGGGGATACTTTTTGGACTGTTTTGGGCAGCTAGACATGCATTTAAAACTGATCTATCCTTGCCTTCCTCCCACCTCCAGCCCGTCCAGCCCTCCAGCCTTCGAAGACCTTTGGAACATGTGATTGCAAAGAGCTCCAAAGCTTCAGCAGCATCTGGGGAGAACACAGAATGAAGCCAAAGTCAAAAGGAATTATGTGTTCTCACACGCTGTCACATGTTCCTTGCGCTTCCTTATCGATAACGCATGGCCGAGCCCCGACCTCCGGACATGACACGTCCTTCACGGTTGCCGCTCCCCGCTGCGACGCCACTGCGGCAGGGCGGAGCTCCCGTAGCTCGGCGCAAAGGTTCGTGGGGAGCTCAGCCGTTCGCACAGCCACCGACATGCCGTCTGCAGCGACCCGGGGAGGAAGGCCTTTGGGCTCGTCCTCTGGTTTTTGGCTTTGGGAAGTTGTTAGTTGTTTGCCCCGAGGCTCTGATTTCTCAAGTGTTCTCAGTGCTTCTGAAATAAAATCCCATAAGCGAAGGGGGCGAGGTCTTGGAACCCTGAGGTTGTTGGGGCTTACTTTGTAAAGCCAGAATTAAGCCTTTCACACTCTTCAAGACTGGCTGGAGGCAAATGGCTGAGCTTTGACATGGCATATCACGGCATGGCATGAAAAGGAAGCAATCAACTGAATGAGTCATCGAGCACGGTTGCAAACCGCCATCCGCATCCAAATTCTGTGCCAAGAGCTTCAAACAGCTGTTCAAGAAAGGCCGCTCACTCTCGGCCTCACTGGAAAGAAGAGTTTCAAGTCCAAATGCGAAGCACTGATTGAAATGACAATCTGAAAATGCTTTGTGAAGATTGAACATTTCACAGGCTTGTCTGTATCAAAGTGACTCTAGATATTGATAAAAATAACATGGAAGCGGAAGCGGCTTGAAAGCAAGCTCATAGTGTAGGAGCAGTGCAGTTTGAAATCACAGGACACTGAAGGAAACGACCGGAGACCAACGCCAAAAACATTATCAAAGGACAAGAACAAAAGAGACAACGGAAAAAGGGCATGGTCCTCAAAACACGCCCCAAGTAGGGACAGGGTAAAGGAAGGCCTAATAGATTGAGAAGCTTGTGTTCATATTGCGCTCGCATGTTTCTTCAGCCTGTGCGAGTTTCACGGGTATATAATTCCAAACGGATTCTGTGCTCAAAGGAATTCAAGGCTCTCTGCTGTTCATTGTGTTTCTCTGATCGTGACGGATAGAAACCTTAACCTACACACCCTCAGACCAGTGTGTTCTAGTCTGGCGCTGTCCTTGAGCAGAAAGCATGAGCTTTGCTTGTGGTTTACTGAGCCTCTTGACAGCATTTGTTTGAGTTTGCAAATGTGCGGAAGCCAAACAAGCTCACAACCTTTGACAGGCTGGTATATAGAGGTGTAGCATGCCCACGCAAAGATCTGACACTCCATCCCACTTATGCTGGAGGGTGGAAAACTGGATTGAATTTGACATGATCTCAGTTGTCGTGCACTGTCAACGTAACAAGATGTGGTTTCAGTCGTAGTTGGTGCGGGTGGCTACTTATCCAAAACCAAGGTTTGCATCGGTCACATGCTTTTTGATGCCAAGATTGACTTTGTCAGTTTCCATGATGTAGAATGCAATGAGATTCTCGGGTTTGTATTAGAATAGGGAAACCCCCAAAGACCCCCTGGAAAAGGAAAATAGACTAGAACCCCGTTGGCTGCTGGGTCCACTATTGAAATACAAACCCAGATATAAAATCGGCTTTGATTGGCACCGCAGGCCGATCATTGATCAATTGTATAATATATATATATATACTTCAAGAACCCTAAAGTTTACGCTTCTTACTCTATTCCAACATGACATTTGCGGTCTACAGCGGATCGGATTAACACGTCCATTTTACGTGGCAGGTACAGCACGGTCAGATTTCCACACCCGTTTAAATTTATAATACTTATAAGGCTTTCAGGTGTGGAAATCTGACCGCAACTTAGGTGTCGACATGTTGCACGTAGGATTCTAAGGGGAAAGGGTTTGTGATGTTTGAGAAGTCAAGAAGCGCAACTTTTGGCACCCCAGTGTATATATATTGGGTCTGTCCTATTATACAATTACCAGTAACAGTCGATGTTGACGTGTTCAAAGGCCTTTCTCTAAAATGGTGATGATAACTGTGTACCGACTGTTACAGGCAATAATAGGATAGACCCAAAACATATAATTAATACAGTTGAAGAAAGTGCTCAGCTTGCTCTAAGCTCTTCGCTTCACTTGGATGCTTGTCTGGCAGCATCTCCCACTCTAGTGGCTCAAGTGGTGAGTCAGGCTGTGGCTCTGGAGCGTGCATAGGTCGTGGTGGCAGCGGCCTTACCGTTCTCTCATCAACAGCCTCAGAAGCCTGTGTAGAACTCTGAGAAAGGCCACACAACTCCTTCGGCACATCTCTGTCGACTTCTCCGTCGGCAGAAGCTGCCTGATCTGCAAGGTGCTCCTCTGTCACAGTCTTCTGGACGTCTTCTTTCAAATCCTTTATAAGTCTTTCCTCTTCTTTGGAGCCGTCCACCTCATGTACCTGCAGATCTTCAATCTTTACTTCATCTTTGGGCTCCTTCGTGACGGTCTTGGTGGATTCCTGGGAAAAGCGGCAAGCGACAAGGCTCGGACAAATCGGAGGCAAATCAAAAAATGTGTCCTCTTTCATGGTCTTCTCTTTGATCCGTGTATTTGGCAGCCGGCGCGGCAGTGCCCCTAGGGTTTTCACGTCTCGCACCTGGATTGCTCTCTTGGACAAACAACGAATCATTTTTAATTATTCCAAAAGGTGTCAAAATTCCAATCCCGTGTCGCACCTCCAGCACTCTCGCCTTCATTGGACTCCTGTCTGGCATTCGCAAAGTCCGCACGGGCGAAAGTGCCCGCACCGGGGAAAGCGCTCTCACCGGCGACTGCAGGACTGGTGCAGTCCGCAGCGGGACCGGCAGGACCTCTCGAGGGACCTCCGGGCGAGGGAGCTCACGTCGAGGGGATGCAACTCTCACAATGCGTGAAGGACAGCACGGAGATGCGACCCAAGTCGGAGTGCTTGGAGTTCCTGCAGTGCCTCAGAATTTTGAAGTCCTGCAATGCCTTTGGTATGAAAGAGTTGTCAAAAGTACACAAATAGAAAATGAATAGCTGCGTCTTAGTTGCGAAAGGGTACGACTGGCGCCTTCATGTGCGCAGTTGGTACCGTGGGTTGCATGCTGGGTGCCACAGGTACCACGGGCACCACAGGCACCATGGGCATCGCCGGAGCACGTGCCATAGGAGCACGTGCAACAGGGGAAGCTGCAAGCCTTGTCGCCGGAGGGCGAGCTGCTCCTGGCGGATGTGGCGTTGGATCTGGCAACGAGTGGCACAACTCGACGCGCCTCCGTGAGCTGCATGGCCTGTATGCAGCAGTGCCTACAGCTTCGGTAGGATTTGAGACAGTTCGGTAAGAGCCGCAGGCTCTGAAAAACCTTCGCCTGCCGTGCGCAGCTTTGGCTCATCACATCAGGGCTGGAGATCATCCTGCGAAAGATTAGCTATGTCCAATCAAACCTTCTTGAGACTTGAGACAAAAACACTGAAGCCCCAAATGGTTCAAAGGTGTCCTCGGCGCTGCATGCACTATTGGAGCCTGAAACAAGCTTTTTCTGCAGGACATCTTTGGGTCTGACCAACAGTTCGACTGCACATGGCTCTGCTTGCAGCCAGCATAATTACGCCATTCTCGACAGCACTCATATCCCGGAAGGTGTTGTTGCATGTATTCACTCTGGTGACTCACTCACTCACTTTCACTCACCTCACCTAGTCATCGAGAACTTGATTTCTACAGCGCCGCAGGCCAAATTCTGACGAAATTAATGAAGGCATTCTATGACATTGGTGTTGCTGCGCCACTGAGAGGCGTTTGCAAAAGTCCTAGCTCATCAATCAAGGCGAGGCCTAAGGCTTGACGTTTCACCGACAAAGCCTCGATCCGGAAGGATTGCGTAAGACAACCTCGTGGGCTTTCTGACAAAATGTGGGACATTCGGAAAGGAATCAAAGAAACTACAAAGGTTTCAGGATCTTTGAGTACAAAGACATACTAGAATGCTTTCTTGTTATTAGTAGCAATGGCCCCACCCTAATAGCGATGGCCTCCAACCTAGTAGCGATGGCCACCACCCTAGTAGCGATGGCCTCTACCCTACAAAGGAACTACAAAGGTTTCGGGATGATTGAGTACAAAGACATACAGTACTAGAAAGCTTTCTTGTTACTAGTAGCAATGGCCCCCGCCCTAATATCGATGGCCTCCAACCTAGTAGCGATGGCCGCCACCCCACAAAGGTAACTACAAAGGTTCGGGATCTTTGAGTACAAAGACATACTAGCCACCACCCTAGTAGCGATGGCCTCCACCCTACAAAGGTCTTGGGATCTTTGAGTACAAAGACATACTTGTTGTGGGTACGGGGCAACATCTGAGATGATGCAGAGATCTGACAAATGAGCTCTCGCTAGAATCTGCTAGGGGACAGGGTGTATATAGTCAAGCAAGCAGCAGGACCTTGGACTCGGCTCTATATAGCACTATATAGCACCGTAGCCTTTCTCAAACATCACACACTCCTTTCATGTTTGGCTTTTTGCAAGCCTCCATACCCTGCGTGGCCATCACGCCTGGCAAGGATGTGGCTTTGCACTCTATCAAGAACCATTCACCTTTGAGCCTCTCATAGGGCTTCTAAGAGTGGTCCAATGAATTGGCTTTGCTGTTCAATAGCTATCTTGCTGCAGAGTGACCTTGCACGCCTACTCTAAACAAGGCAAGATTGCGGCAAAGGGAGCGTTTGGATTGGAGCTTGGCTCCACATCGTGGGAGTCGGCATCGCTTCCGACCTTCCCAAAGCCAATCAGTCTGTTCACTTGAGCCCAACAACGGAGGGCCCATTGAAGTTCATCAAAGCAATCACTTCATGTAGCAAGACAAAGCAGTCCAAGAGCATCTCAGTCAAGACGTACGCATCCTTTTTGAAACTACCGCAGAAAGATCTCGTGCCCATCAGTCTCGGTGTCATAATTCCTGCAGCTTACACGGTTAAAATGCTTCCCTATCAAGCCCATGAGTCGAACAAACCTTTCAGCCCATCTCCAAGTGGCAGTCGAAAAATGTAGAGATGAAACCTTGTTACTAGTAGTAATGCCAGGAGCTCTAGTTACTAGTAGCTTCGAGCTACTAGTAGAAATGTCCTTGTTACTAGTAGCTTCTTGTTACTAGTAACGATGGCCGGTCCTCCTGAACATGCATGCTTCCATCACATCTTGCCAGGCAAGAATGCGTACTCGAACAGGAACAGGCTTGAAGCCTTGAAACGAACAGGTGCCCAAAGCCACAAGCTTGTGAGCTGCTTCACTGCACTTCGCAAGACCAGTTCAGACATGTTCGAAGGCACTTTAGGATATCTAAGACTGGTGGATCTTCTCAACTGGCAGTCAACTTGGTGTTTGAGTGTTGTCTCCTCAAAAGAACCAAATGGTGTACTCACTGAAAGCAACATGATATTGATATTGAGCGTGGAACCACATCTCTTCTGGTACTCCTTCAAACAATAAAGCCGACGATTGTCCTGGCGGCTTCCATAGCTTTGCCACTTCACATGTGAAAGGTAAACACATTCCATGCAGTCCTTGGAGAACAAGGCGCGTTTGCCATTTTCGTCCATTTTCTCCACAACCGTCAACTTCAAAAAGTCTGCAGTCATCGGATTGATGCGCCCGGCGGACAGGGCTCGAATCAGCTCCTGCACTGACAGTTCAGATTGGAAAACTTGAGGTTACATAGTGCTCGGCACTGGAAGCTCACCAATCTCCGACTCGAGGCAAGCATTTGAGCACGTTGAATGTTGGTGTCATGTACATCATACATATTCCTACATCAGACGGTCAAGAGATTTTTGACGGTCAAGGAAAGACTGAGTCCTCAAGCGATCGGCCATCCTGGCAACGTAGAGCGAGGGAGTGACCGATCGACCATCGCACAGCTCCCACCCCTATCGACAAGTGTCGATTGAAAATGGCTTCGTTTTCCACTCGTGTCCGATGGTCGGACTCCTGGCCTTACTACGAGCAAGGACGCTACTAGGGGCTCCTGGCCATACTACTAGGAGGAAGGAAGCTATTAGAAACAAGACTTAGAAATATAGAATTAGAACTGTCTTTCAATTGAACGCCGATGTTTGGAGACGCTCCCCGTCCTGGAAGCGTCGTTTCATTGATCTCTGGCAGAAGCGGATTTCAGCTGCATCGACAACCCTCTCTGCAGCCTAGGAATTTGGCCAGCAAGGCAATCGCAAAATGCACAACGAGTGCAAAGATGCACATCTCCCATGGAAAATCATTCTGAACTTGGAAGGGGCATGGTCAGAAGGTATGAGCAGCCAACAATTGTCTTCTCAAGTCACCCTCGTACATCTCTAGAGCTTCAAAAATCTTCAATCCTGACCTACACATGACAGCCTGCCAGCATCGTGGTCGTGCTTGCGTAACTAGGATTCCTGCCATCGTGGGTGGCAAGGCATCCACCCAACTGCCACTGCCAGAGTAGTACTGCCCATGACCTCCAGCAATAAATCTAAGAAGGACTCTTTCAGTCGGAACAGTTAGCATATGAAGATCCCGAGGTCCTTCTTCAAAAAGAAACTCCCTGGAATGGAAGTCAGCTATGTGATTCGGATTCCAAGAAAAATGAAATTGACCACGCAACTCACGAAGTGCAATACAAACTGCTCGCCATCAAAAGCTTCAGAGCAAAAATTGTTCTTCTTTGGGCTCCCACTCGGAGCTAAACTGAGGCCTCTACCGCTATCTGCAATGGCAGGCTGAGGGAAACTGGGAGTGTCATATGGACTTGGCCCACAGATCGCTGGAGGGCCGCTGCCGCCACTCAAGTCAACGTGCACGTTCACTCGAACAGGACCTCCATTTGATTGACCTGCCACGACTCTTCATCATGGTCTTGCCTATGCCAAGAAGCAAAGATGCCGGAAAAGGTAGAGTATCATGGTGCTGCTGTGAATCACCAGCCTGTTGCTTTCAGCACGTCTGCTAAGTGTCCCTGAATGACCTCGACAAGTCTGAGGCAGGAAAATGGGAACAGAATGTGAATGTAGCTGATCTAGATTCTTGGTTTGACCGAGCTGCTCAATCCACCTAAGATGCATGATTGAATTCTAGATCTGGAGGAATCTCCCTGCGAATCTTTCGTTTCCGGTGGAATCTTTCCTTAAGTGTTGCTTGGCGTTTGAGTCAAACCCTAGCCCCTGTTCGCCTGCATTGCTTGAAGGAAGGTTGAATCCTGCAAGAGAACAAGAATTGCTCTTTCAACGTCCTTCCATCGCCCCACCCGTTGAGCGTCTCTCTCCTGTAGCATCTCTCCAATGGCCAGTCCCTCTTGATCCACATCCACAAGAATCTGACCGTCTCCTCCACTCAGCGCTCAAGTCCCTCGCTCACCAATAAGATGTTCAACGATGACCAGCATGCTTTGGACAAAAACACGAGCAACAAGTGCTGCTAGGATCACAGAGACATGGTGCCGATTTGGGGGCCTATATCGATCCCTCTGCCAAAGGCAGAGAAAAGCAAGCAGAAAGTGGTTTGGGCTTTGAGAGCCCAACGCATCAATGAAATGAATCAAACATTGACAAACATCATGAAATACTCCATGCATCAAGCCATACTCCATGTAGAGCTGACAGGGCTCCTGCAGGTGCCCATGGCACAATTGCTCCACTCTCCGGAGAGGGTGCTGGCAGAGCCAGGGTAGTCACAGACGAGGCTGGTTTTCGTAGTGCATGAGGCGGGGGATCCTTTCGCAGTTCACGCCCACAATCCCAAAGCTGGACCGTCTAAACGTGAAGACGTGTCTGCCACCATGTCTTTACCAATTCATATGATTCATGTCCAATTTCAGGACATTGAGCTAGAATTGACATGCTTTGAACATCCTGTTCAGCCATTCTCAAGCACGATCTGTTTAGCTTGCCCGGGTGAAAGCATACTCTCAAGCATTTACGATGTGATGGTGCTCATCACTGGCCAAAACCTGGCCGAAAGCATCTGGTTGGGACAGTTGGTAAGCTCCCTCCAAGTGTTCTCAAAGGAGATCTGACCGAGAGGTGGGCTGTCCTGGACAGGTGGAGGGCCTGGCAATGGGCTTCGCCTTGGAAAATGCCAAGTCAAACCTCTACACTCTACACTCTACCCGCCTCTATTTGGTTGGAGGCCATCGCTAGTAGTTTGGAGGCCATCGCTGGTAGGTTGGAGGCCATTGCTATTAGGTTCCTCAAAGTATTTTTCCCATTACAAGGAACGACACGTCGGCACCTTGCTGAGCTCCTGGCCGGGAATCCTGGAAAGTGCACATTGGGGGTGGTGGGGGACGAAGTCCTGTGGAAGTTTCACAGGGCACTTCCGAAACCAGAGCAAGCGGAGATGGACCTGACGGGATGCTTTTTTTGGAGAGGTGAGATGCCTGGAGTAGGACGGGGCGGCACTGCTTTGGAGCTTGGGCGCACCAAGACCTTCTTCGCAGCGCCTTGGCTCTTGGTATTTCGGGTGGGGCTCCTGGAGCGACTGGCCCGAGACGGGGGTGGATACTTGGGTGTGGCGACTTCCGTCCCAGACACTGGGCGAGGCATCTTCTTCGGCTGTGGTGGCTTCATCATTGCCATCCATCGACCTCCCGAATAGCATCAGCTGAGTCGAGGCATTCCATTCCGATGGTTTCATGAGCAATTATGAAGCCAGTGCTTTTGGCAGTTATGTTCCTGGTGCATGTTAAGGATGGATGCTGCGCACACAGTATCTGAACTACTGGATGGCTTTTCCCACCTTCGGGGCTTAATTGTGCTTGGTTTATCGACTGAGAAGTATGGCCTGCTTCCTCCTCACTGGACGAGTCCGAGTCGTCCTGCTCCTTTGCTTTTAGACCATCACCATTTGGAGAGACTGACGGTGTCGTGGTAGAGAGTGTAGATACTGTACCTCAGAAAGACGGTGTATCCTGCGCTGAATAAGCTGCAATGTCTCGGACAGCGATGTTGTTTACTGCAAATCTCAGTGAGGCACTCTGGTGCCCGTCGTCTCCATGCGCTTCCTGGCAAGAAAACTGCGAATGCAATCATCCATCCCCTTGAACATCTGGCAAATAATCACCTGACCAGTACCACATGTGCCTTCGTACTTGATTGGGACGTAAGCAAATGACACACCAGCCACAAGATGGCCTCCTTGACTTCTTCTTTCACAGAAGAGGTGAACCAACTGTCATTTGAATTTCTGTGGAATGGTTCACCTCGGATAACAGACATTGCAGACTCCAAAATGAAAGCTTGATCCATTCACTCTTGAGGTTCGAAACAGCTGGAAATGGTTCAACTCTCTGATACGTGCTGTCTCGAAAACCAGCAATCCACTCAGCACTGGACGTTTCCATGATTTCCAACCTGAGCTGAACAACTCCTCTTCCATGCGTTGATGCCACTTGCGTTGCATTTCCACAATGGGTTTGCTGGAAGTTCACAATCTTCACGTCCAGAGTATCAGGCGGCAATGGTTGGCACACACTGTGTATAGAAAATATCGAAAAGGATCATAGCCCCGAGTAGCGTCCATGCTCCTAGTAGTACGGCCAGGAGCCCGTTCGTAGCGTCCTTGCTCCTAGTAGTGATGCCAGGAGCCCCTAGTAGCGTCCATGCTCCTAGTAGTCCGGGAAAGTAGTCAGCCCCAGTTTGGCCTTGTTCAGCCAAGTTGCCAGTGGCTGCTGATCCTGGCAGTCCACCAAAAGCAGACATGCGTATCGGAGGTGCGACGCTTTGGGATCAGTGCCCAAAGGCTTCAAGTCGCTTACTCTTCCAAGTCGATTTCTTTTCAAGTTGGATCGTTTCTGCATGGGCTGAGTGATCAAAAATGAGAAAAAGAGTGCAAGGAAGAGTGCCGTGGACAACAATGTGACAATAATCATATAACAGTTTGACGGTAGTATGCTCATTAAAGTTGCAGAACGTGCTCAAAGAACAACTGAAAGTGGTGAGGTCTGTAGCCAAGCTGCTACCGCCGCTACCGTAAGTCTGTCAAACCGACCGTTCAATAAAATCCATTGTCGCCTAGAACATGAGGCGGCGGAGGTGTGCAGGGTGGCTTTGGCACAAGAGTGGCCATGGCAAGAACCCTCACCAAGATGATTGGCACTGAGAACAAGCAAACAAGAAGCTACTAGTAACAAGGTGCATCGCTAGCTACTAGGAGCAAGAAGCTACTAGTAGCTCCTGGCATTACTACTAGGAACAATATCTCTGATTGCTTGAGTGATCTGATTCATCTTCCCTCTTAGGCCTGATCTGAAAGATCTGAAAAACAAAACCCCTATATCAAGGATCCGAGCAATGATGACTACGGACTGGCCGCTTGCTTCACTGCAAATATGTTTGAAGAGATGTATGGATTATCTGTCTTGCCCGATGTGTGTCTGACATCGAACTTCCATGACTTGATCTATAAGTACTGCGATGGGTGTTCGAGAAAGAATGAAAGCCAGAGACTGCTTCCTGAACACAAATAGTAGAGTTCTAGTGGAAGCTTGTAAAGAGTTGCTCATCTTGGAGAACAGAAAGCTAAGCTGAATGTAGAGTGGAGAGATGTGTCTTCAGGTCTTGCAAAAGCAGGAAGCTGCGCAAGCACCCAATTTTTGCTCAACCAGGCGAGCTTCTAGGCTTGAGGTGCAGGTGCAGCCAATCGACGGTTCAATACTGGTGGGCGCTCAACTTTTAGAGAGGCAGAAGCACTTCAGACTTGGCCAAAGCCTCGGGCAAAGGCCACGCTCCAGGTTGCCATGAGGCCTGCGCATTTGACTCGGTTGCGAAAATGTGTTGCAACTCTACTTGGCACTGCTTCTCAGACACGGGCTGTTCAACATTCAACTAGCTCGGTGCACAAAGACTTCCAACTGTACTTGTTGTTCGTGTTGTTCTCCAACTCCAAGTGTGGTCCACTCTATTGTTCTGTGACACTTGCGTGTCTGTGTCTCTCATGCGACAGATACAGCGGGCCTCACAAGACCATGCTGCTTGGCTCCACAGCAAAGAGGCTCTTTGAATTCCTCACCAAAAGGACAAAAGTCGAATGCATGCTGCCCCCAGGTCTGCAGTCACCCAATCTTCTTCGACTTCTCCCACGGCAAGAAACGTTTCTGCGTATAGCTTTGTCCGCATTGCACCGATTGCTTCATTGCCTATTGGCATTCATTCTTTCTCTTTTTGCCTAGCAAGAAACTTTCAATTATGTTGTTCAGCAAGCTCTCCCAACAGATTCCAGCCTGCGATACGTGACATTGGCAGGTGCTTTGCTGCCTTCACGCAGAAGCACGCGTATTGCACGGTACGGGCACCATTGCTGAAACTGATAAACACGGTCGAGTCCCCTTGCATAAAATATAACGAATCAACTCAAGCGACTATGGCATTGGCTTTTCAAACACTTCATTCTAATGTTGAACTGTAAGATTTCTTGGAAGCAATTTCTAGCACGAGAGGATTAATGTGTAGCCTTTTTATATTGTTTTTTATCCACTCTTCACACCCACTTCCACTTCCTTCTTCATTCTTCCCTCTTCCCTCTTCCCTCTTCCCTCTTCCCTCTTCCCTCTTCCTCTTCCTCTTCCTCTGCCTCTCCTTCTTCTCCTTCTTCTTAACCTTCTTCTTATCATTCTTCTTATCATTATTCTTATCCTTCTTCTTATCCTTCTTCTTATCCTTCTTCTTATCCTTCTCTTTATCCTTCTCCTTCTCCTTCTCCTTCTCCTTCTCCTTCTCCTTCTCCTT